TTTGTTGTGTGTGGGGGGGGGGGGGTATAGGATCCAAGTTGCATAACTGTCAAACTCTAAGAATTATATTCCGGCTGGGAAATAAACAAAAAGAAAAACAAAACTTTTGCCAAAGTAAGATCGACCATGCAGATTCCGATGCACCATGCAAGTATATTATGCATTTCTTTTTGTTTTTTGAAAAAGAATGGTCCAGTTCTGCCAGAAACTCAATCTGGCAGTATTGATGCATTTTAATTCCATCTGGAAATATATTGAACATACAACAAACAAATACTTGTATTTTCATTTCCTCATGCGTCCACGATACAGATGAAGGAGGAGCTCAACTCATTTGAAGCTGGAGTCAACTAGGCGTTGTAACTTTCACATTGAACAAATAGGTAATTAAGTGTGAGATATAAGGGGATTGGATAAAACTAGGGGTGTCAATGATTCGGTTCGGCCGGTTATTTTATAAAATTTGTACCATACCAATTTTTCGCTTATTCTATTATGTATAACCAAAATTAGACTTTTCGAAACCGTCCCAATCATGTCGGTTTCTCTTCGGTATCGGTATGGTTCGGTTAATTTTCGGTATTTTTTTTAATATCATGTAAAATTCACCAGTAGAAGTAGAATGCAATAACATACGTTCTTTTATAGGACTTAGCAAAACTCTCTAGACATTTTAACTGTTTAAAGGGTGATGAATTAAAAAAAATGGCTAGAGCATAGATCCATCAACTATTCTACAACAACGTAAAAGAAATCAAACAAAGGCAAAGAAAATATAAATCACACGAGTTGAAAGATATACCAAGCTGGGACTCAAGAATAAAGTCTATAGAAGATAAAATATTCAAAAAGATAAATCTAAATTATATGAAAGGAAACATATTCAATACATTGTAGTTTGCTACTCATAATCGCTAGAATACTTTGTGTCTTGCTAATAAAGATACTTGAAATAACTTAGTTTAAGTAGAAGTAGCATAATAGGTTTTAGGAATTAGTATTTTGAGTTTAATTACTTGTTGGCTTGTAATAGTTTTCATAATTCCAAGGCCCAAAGAAAATTTAATGCCTTATTATTTTTAACTTACTAAACAAATATATTTTCCACATGTAAAATTTATTCGGTACGGTTCGGTATTTTTTCGGTTTATTTTTATAAAATAAAAAACCTACCCTAGTTATCGGTGCGGTTATAGATTTATATAAAAACCTACGGTTTCTTAAAAAGAAACCTAAAAATCGGTTCGGTGCGGTGCGGTACGGTCGGTTTTCGAATATCCACTGATACCCCTAGATAAAACATAGACAAAAGGAGAAGTAATAATCATTTTTTGATTGGTAAGATACTTTCTTCAGCCCATGCAAATGATAATCATATAGAGGAGTACACCAGTATATAGAACTCAGACTGAACTACTGCTCTGGAGTAAGAACACAAGCATCAAGGTGTTGTTTAAATTTCCATTCTTCACAGCAAATGCTACAGTATATTACTGACCCAATATATCGCACATGCACAGGGATCTACAACATGATTACGACCTACTAAAGTTAATGTTTAAGTCTCAAACTCCACTAGCTTCAGGATTTACTCCGGGAGTCTATATGCTATGAACATGAATACCAGGGAACAAGAAATTGTCTAATATAGGATTTTTTTTTTAAATCAGTTATATAGGATAAAGCTATAATATCTAGACTAGAACTTTTATCTACAGAAACTCATATAAAAGGATAAAAGATTTTGACTTTGTAGGCTTGTTCAGAAGATAAAAACAGGCAGCTTTTGTCATTAACTAATCCAACTAAAAAATAATAAGGATACACTTGGTACATTTAGGTCATAAAAGTTTGAAAGTGCCAGACATAGCTGCAGCTTAGAACACATGTAAATTCCTCTTTTACCTTTATCAACACTACAGTCTGCTGCCCCTACTTGACAACAATAAACCACTAGCAGATAATAAAGATTGTTACCAAGTTTAGATGGCAACATGATAGCAATATTCATTGTTACTTGTTTCTTGGAATAAAGGTAACATAGCAAGACATGTCAATAAAACACTATTGCAAGTTACTTTTCTTGCTGTGAACTGGATTTGAAAAAAAAAGTGTCTAATTCATTTCGTCCTGCTGCTCCAATCTTAAAATCAGCATGCTAATGAAATAAGGATGATAGACACAGTTGAACAAAGACAAAATGGAAAACAGAGACACAAACGGAGACAAACGTTACCTCCGCTATTGTGTTGTCCATAGGGTAGCCGTTTAGAGAACTTCTCGCTCAGTTCAGAAACGACCAAACGAGATAAAAGAAGACCAGCACTAACTGCACCAACAACAAGCATTATAAAAACTGCATCCCATCCTTTTGTTGAAAGAAAACCTGTCAAAAGAGGACCGAGAGCAGCACCCATAGATCCAGTACCATCAATAATGGCAGTAACTGTTGCTAGTGCTCGAGAATCTCCTCTCAAGGAGCTGTGAGTACCCAGATCTGCTGACACTGCAGTTGTTATAAGCGCATAAGGTCCATTGACAAACAACCCAGCTATCATCATGAGCAAAATGTTCATGAGCTTTGATGCACTTCCATATTTGCGATACAAAAGCATAGAAGGAATTGCTGCATACATGAAGCTGGCTGCTGTAGTAGCACGAGCATCAAGCTTGTCGGATAGATGTCCAGCTAGAATTCCACCAACTATACCTCCAACATCAAACAAAGCAGAGAGATTACCAGCAGATTTCACTGAAACATACTCTCCCCCTATAGCTGTAAAGAGATTATCAAGAACCACGATTAGGAACATGACCATGACGTCACTTGGAAATTTACAAAAAAGAATTTCGACAATGAATCTCAAAGTAGAATGGACACTGATACTAGTCACAAGCAAAAAGAAATTTATTCTAGGTTGTTTAAAGTCCAACAGGTAGATTTTTATACCTTCAATACTTCTAAAAGATAAGGGGAACAAGTATAACAAAAGGAAAGCTGTATTTTGAAGTTGTTAGCACCCGAGAAACACTTGATGTCAAAGCAAGTATATAACCAACAAGCATTTCTAACAAGCTTCAGTCAAGAAGTGAACCTTAGCAATTATTGAAGCCACGATATCCATCATCATAACATAATATTTTTCTCTATCTTCTGGGCTTATGAATTATGAAGTTGAACTAGAATGTAGAATGCACTACTTTTCCAGTAATCCTTCACGGAACTTAAAGAAACCTAGCTGAAATTACTAGTGAAGATGCAGTTTGCTTAGGCAAAGCCTTTCATATTTTTGGATGTTCACCTTGTCTTACTTAAACTAGTGAACCCTCAAACTAATACCTGCATAACTGGAAGTTCAAACGGACTATACCTGCATAATTGGAAGTTCAAACAGACTCAGATGGGGCCTTCTAATTATTTAAAACATGTATAAGTCGGGTACTTTGCTGCTTTTTACTTCTCTAGAAGCCAATGTGCACTAGAATGTAGTGTTTAAATTGTTTGTTAGCTAGGCCAGAACTAATGAGCTTGTGTGGGATATTCTACATATGTTGGTATACTGATGCAACATGGGCCTTGTCCTGTACAGGTCCTCATCCTTCTTGGGATTTCACCAAAAAGGGAAAGGAGAAACAGATTAGTTAAGGAGAGGAGTGCCATTCCTGTATGCAATGTAAATAGAGCAATTTGAAAACACGATCAGCAGCCCTGATTTGCCATTAGAAGCATAGACTGCAGGTAAAATCCAATGCGTTAAAGACGTCATGCTCCTTAATCAGATTGAAAGTTAGAAAAGACGAACCATGTATTTTCCCCTAAAGAATAGTCAGAGTTAGCAGCAGCAACTACATTCTAGAGATTTAATAGGCATGCGAATCTTTTCTCTTTCAACCCTCAAAAGCTCCATTATCAAAATCCCCTGCCTTATCAGCAATATACACTCCTAAATACCTCACATAAACAAAAATGATTACAAATGAACCGGCAAGTGGACAAGTAAGATAATTGTTCCAATATGCAGGCTTTTAAAACAGCTTTAATGCTTCAGAACAATGTCTATCACACACAAAGAACCAAGTATAGCAAACAATTCATAAATGCAAGCAGCGATACCTGTTTGACTAAGGTAAAACGGTAACCAGTACAAAAATGTGTATGCTACCAACTTTGAGAAGAAAAGACACAGTGCAAATGGAATCACTCCTGGTATTAGACAAGCATCAAGAAGACCAACACTTCTCCTATTTCCTGAACCATGCCGACGGATATTGTCTTGTCCATTTTCAACCATATTTTCTTTCACTGTCTGAGCTTCTTCATCATTAGGCACAGACAAATCCTCAACAGACGAGGGACGATTAGGACAAGGAAATCCAACATCTTCTGGATAAGCAGGCAATAGCAAGTACACAATTATCCCCGCGAAAAATATAAACGCTCCCGGAACAATAAAAGACCAACCCCATCCATGTTCCAAAACACCAGCAGCCATAAGGGATCCACTAATATTCCCAACAGAGGTATGAGCATTCCAAATACCCATAATCAATCCCCTTTTCCTTTTCCCAAACCAATTACCAATAACAGCAACAACAGAAGGCCAGCCAGTAGCCTGAAATAACCCAGCAACCATTTGCATAAGCAAGTAAAACCAAAAAGCATGTATTTTCCAAAAATAACCCATACCAAACAACCCCACAAAAATGCCACTTCCAATCATACCAGTTGTTAAAAACAACCTTAGGTCCAATGAATCCCCTAAATGTCCAGCCACATACATTCCTATTGAATAACATGCAAGAAATGCAACATCAATTTCCCCTAATTTCGACGTACCATCCTCGTCATTAAAAGGTTCCCAGCCTTTCTTTTTTGAATGAAACAAATCAGTAGGACCCAAAGTTTCATTCTTTATGAAAACTGGACCCATAGGCCATGGATTTGAAACCGTTATGTTGAGAAATGGGTGTGGATGTAAAACACTCTTGACAATACTACTGGGTTTTCTTGAAGCATGATATGATGTATAAGCTATGAACGTGATCAACAAAACTACGTATTTATACGTCTTTAGACTCCAATCTTTACCTCTCATGCTTCTTATGAGCAAAATTCCAGGTGGGTTTCCTTTCATTACATCATTATTCCCTGCCATTTCGTAAAAACCCTAGAAATCAATTCAAATTTCACCTTATCCACGTTGATCAGAGACAAAAACTTCTTTCTTGTTTTTGATAGAACATAGATTTTGCCGAAAGATAGGAAATTCACTAAACCGGGTTCAGATAGGGAAACATAGTTTCGGGGAATTCACCCATAATTTCCTCCAATTGTGTGTGTGTGTGTGTGAAATGGAAGGGTGGCGGGAGAGAGAGAGAGTGATGACGTGAAGCAAGGGAAAATGCTACGTGTCGGTTTTGAAATTCTGGTCGGGGTAATGGTTCGGCGCCACACAAAACCGTTGAGGGACCTAAAAGAAAGGCCCGTGAGGATCGTCACGTGGCTCCTCATTTTTGTTTTCATTTACTGCATGGCTAATGGCTTAACGCTGAGTCGTGCAGGAAGAGATTAAAATGGCGGCTGATTTTTGGTTATACATTGGCTTTTATAGTTCCAAGAATTGATAAAATATTTTGGTTTTCTATGAGGCTGAATACATTAACTTCCGTTTAAGTTGTCCTCAACGATCAACTGAACACTTCAATTGAGCTTAATTCTAGCTAGACATTTTATTTATTCACAAAAAAAATTAACTAAGCACCCGACCATATCAGCCCCTATTGCGTAAAATGCACTTTCTGGAACGCGAGTTACCTACCTAAAATTAGACTTTTTCTTTTCTTTTCCTAAAATAACATGGACCCCATCTAATTTTCACACCTCCTTCTCCTCCAATTTTCTCCTCCACCATTCGACACCCTCCTTTACCCTAAATCAGCTCTGTCTCCATTTTCTCGTGCTTAATTTCCTTTTGTTTCATTCCTTTCCACCATACCTTCACTTCAGTATACAATTTAACATATACTAGATGGTTGAACAGAATTGTATAAGGTCAAAATCATGTGTCCCCGATTTTATAGGCTCGAGAAGTCGCGTCGAGAACAAGTTCAATATGGACCGGGCTCGAGCCCAATGGCAGAATACGAAACTCGAAGATCAAAGTGCTCGATGAACACCGGGTCCGAGTATGACCAACCTCGAGATAATACCGTTATGGTTTTATAATAGAAAAAGCGAGATTCCCGCGGAGACCCTAAGATCACAGCGTAAATCTCGGAACGGATTTGTACTAGGCGGTTAGACAGCTGTATAATAGGATTCCCTACTACTATTAGAATTGTACCTCATTTAGGATTCCCCTACTATATAAAGGGGACCCCAATCATTCGTAACACATGAATCATTGACAAGAGAATATACTTACATTACTTTCTTGCTTACTGTTCATCTAAATCATCTCATTGTTATTTTATTGTCCTTGTTCATCTACCTCGAGGTCGCTTTAGCCCGAGGTCGAGACTAGCTTATACATCGGTTTGATTTATCTCACTCTTTAATTTACACACTTGATTCCTTGTTTATTAGTTAGTATTGGATTGAATCACTTATCTTAAAAATCACAAAACAAATTTAATTGTTACTCGAATTTTAGGGGAAAGAGTTTGGCGCCCACTGTGGGGCTAAACATAATAGCGATTGTTTCAATACTGATTATGATAACACACGTTATTTTCACACTTGTTCTTGTCAAGAATTTGTGTTCTCGGGTTGAATCATGTCAAACTCACAAAATGTACCCGTACATGGCGATGATGGTCTTGGACTTCACGGGGAAAATGATAATATAGTTGCTCCAAGAGCCAGTGTGCCACTAGTTAACCCCGGGGAAGTGCCGATTGTAGAACCAATCGATGTTAGTTCGCACATTGCTTTGAATGCGGACTTAGGCGCAGATCCCAGAGGAAGTGTACGCAGGGAAGTCCGATCTGGTGTCCAAGGAACACAGGGTGTAGGAGACGGGGGAGTTAGCCTCCACATAATATTCGAGATGCTACAAGCTCAACAGGTTGCTATCGCTTAGCTTCAAAGTCGACATAAAACTCTGAGTGTGGTCGAACCAGAAATCACTCGTCGTACCGTGCAGGTGCCAGAAAGGTCGAACGATAATGGATCGGAGGACTGATCCTACAATTATGAAGATGCTCGAGGAGCTCACCAAAAGAATCAAGTCGGAAGAGAAAAAATTGAAGATAATGACAAAAAAGTGGAAACATACAACTCTCGTGTTGATCAAATACCGGGGGCACCCCCGATCTTAAAAGGTTTGGATGCCAAGAAGTTCGTGCAAAAGCCATTCCCTCCGAGTGCGGCTCCGAAGCCCATTCCTAAGAAGTTTAGTATGCCAGATATACCTAAGTACAACGGGACGAGCGATCCTAATGAACACATCACCTCATACACATGCGGGATTAAAGGAAATGACTTAAATGATGATGAGATCGAGTCGGTTTTGTTGAAAAAATTTGGGGAAACTTTGTCAAAAGGAGCAATGATCTGGTACCACAACTTGCCACCGAATTCTATCGATTCGTTTGCTATATTAGCAGATGCCTTCATGAAGACACACGCCGGGGCCATAAAAGTGGCAACAAGGAAATCAGATGTTTTTAAGATAAGACAAAGAGGTGATGAAATGCTAAGGGAGTTCGTATCCCGATTTCAAATGGAGCGAATGGAATTACCACCGATCACAGATGATTGGGCCGTTCAAGCCTTTACCCAGGGGTTGAATGAGAGGAGTTCGATCGCGTCACGATAGTTGAAGCAAAATTTGATCGAGTATCCAGCTGTAACTTGGGCGGATGTGCATAATCGCTATCAATCGAAGATCAGGGTCGAGGACGACCAGTTGGGAGCCCCCTCGGGTTCAGTTTATCCAAATAGATTGGTAGCTAAAACCCCGAGAGATACCGACAGGGAGCCAAGGTCGAACAGGGAACGATATGAGCCATATGTTGCAGATCGAAGAAACAATGGTTCGGGGCGCAATCCTCCTCAGAATGATCGAAGAAATGATCAAGGGCAAAATTCTCGGGGTCTTATGAGTAAGAATGGTTTTGATAAACATACTGATCCCACAGAAGCACCTCGGTTATCGGAGTATAATTTCAGTGTCGATGCATCGGGAATCGTATCAGCTATCAGAAGGATCAAAGACACCAGGTGTCCCAGACCTATACAAATTGGTCCTTCTCAAAGAAATCCAAACTTGATGTGTAAATATCACGGCACGAATGGCCATAGGGCCGTAGACTGCAGATAACTTAGGGAGGAGGTAGCTCGATTGTTCAACGAGGGCCACCTTTAGGAGTTTCTCAGTGATCGAGCTAAGAATCACTTCAGAGAAAGAGACGCCAACAGAAAGAATGAGCAGGAAGAACCGCAACATGTAATTCATATGATCCTTGGCGGGGTCGATGTTCCACAAGGTCCCATATTCAAACGAACCAAGGTGTCAATCACCAGAGAGAATCAGACTCGGAGCTATGTGCCCGAGGGTGTCCTATCATTCGATGACGAAGAAGCGGAGGGCATTCTCAACCGCACAACGACGCCCTGGTAATTTCTATTTTGCTAAATAAAATTCAGGTTAAACGTGTTCTAGTGGATCCAGGTAGTTCAGTAAACATAATCAGACCGAGGGTCGTAGAGCATCTCGGCTTGAAGGAACAAATTGTGCCTGCATCTCGAGTCCTAAACGGCTTCAACATGGCAAGCGAAACATCGAAGGGGGAGATAATCCTACCAGTGAACGTGGCCAAGATCATCCAAGATACAAAATTTCATGTCATTGAAGGCGACATGAGATATAATGCCCTACTCGGGAGGCTATGGATCCACAATATGAGGGCAGTACCGTCGACCCTTCATCAAATGATGAAATTCCCGACAGTGGATGGTGTGAAAACAGTTGGAAATAACACACTGCAAAGGAAATGTTTGCAGTCGATGAAGTGATGCCGATCTCAATGCCCTCAACCTCAGAAAAATCAAACACCAAAGATAAGCAGATGACTAAATAGCAATCACCGTCACCAGCTTCGACCGAATCGGAGAAACATGTTATCGGAGAAGAAGAAGAGGATTTCCTTACTCCTCGAACTCTCATTGTTCCCAAAGAATCAAATGCAACCAAGTCAATGGTCGAAGAGCTGGAACAGGTGATATTGATCGAGCATCTACCGGAACGAAAGGTATACCTGGGAACGAGGTTAACCCTCGAACTCAGGAAAAAACTCATTCAATTTCTTATCGATAACAACACATCGGTTAAGCCTCGACCCTAGGTTCAAACCGGTGAAGCAAAAGAGAAGGCCTCAGTCCGAGGTGAAACATGCATTTATAAAGGATGAGGTAACTAAACTTCTTAAAATAGGGTCCATTCGGGAGGTAAAATACCCCGAATGGTTAGCCAATGTAGTCGTAGTCCCTAAAAAAGGGAACAAACTTAGAATGTGCGTAGATTACAAGGATTTGAACAAGGCACTCCCTAAAGACTCTTTTCCACTACCTAACATCGATCGCATGATCGATGCTACGGCTGGCCACGAGATCCTTACCTTTCTCGATGCATATTCCGGGTACAATCAAATTCAGATGAACCCGGAAGACCAGGAGAAGACCTCGTTTATCACTAAGTATGGAACATACTGTTACAATGTAATGCCCTTCGGGCTAAAAAATACAGGAGCTACATACCAATAGGGGTGAGCGTTCGGTATTTCGGTACGGTATTTAAAAATACGGATCGGTATTTCGGTATTCGGTATATCAATTGTGTATACCAAATACCGTACCAAATTAATTCGGTGCGGTTCGGTATTTTCTTGTTTGGTTCGGTATGGTTTCGGTTCGGTTTCGGTATCATTATTAACAAAGAAGTAAACCTTCAAATGGTGAATGTTTTGCTTATAAATCTTGATTTGTTGACTAGCATAGCCAAGCTCTTCATTTTTTCTGGTACTCTCCTAGAATAGGCGAAAATGATACGCAACTTGCTTTTAAATCAATTGAGACATCATAGAAGAAGCTTATCAGCCCTATTTTGGAGTGCGCAGGTGAAATGAAGCATCACAGAGGCTTCTTGGATTTGATAAGTTGGATGATTTTTGGTTTACTTGGTGGAGTAAAGTAAACTGGAAAAACATATATGCATGTACCTGGTATTTATAATATATATTCTTGCATAAGTAATTATTTTATCATGTATTTAATTAATAGTACACATTTTCAATGTTATAGTGTTTCAACTCTAAAGAAAAATTCCTTGTTTAACAAGACTATATAAAAATATTTCAAAATTTACACCTCTCTAGTCATTTGTTTAGCTGCATATTACGAGGCTCAGTACACACCTACCTCCTGCTCTTTGTATAATTGTCAAGCCTAAAGATTAAGATTACATTGATGGATTGAAAC